TTTCTCTCACGACATCGCGCATGTCGGGTTGTCGATCGGAATCCTTTGTTGCACCCTGCTTCATCTCGCGCACTTACGACTCTCGTGGACAGGACATCTAGTTTACGAATCCTTGGACAAATCCTTGACAAGAGTAAATGATAATATAAACAAGTTGGTTTTTGCAATCGCTAGCGATAGCAATATTCGTCATGGGAACTTTTGCTTCTGGGATATGAAAATGTTAAGGTACAGTTCGTTTGTAGTATCTTCAGAATTGAAGGGGCTATGTAATTTTGTGTCGACATCTCTTTTTTAACATTTTTAATGTTTTTTCTTTGCATACAAGAAAGCTGTTATTTACCAATTATTTATTTCCGTTGGATTATGTATGGTTTTCGGAAGTTAACGCATTTAACTTTCAGTTTCGTTTTTTCGGCGTAAAGTATGATATTTTTACTCTACGCATATGCCCGAATACGCATCATAAGTGACCTATGTGCTTCCTAAGTTGCCATTTTTTTCATTCAAATAGATGTAACCGAAATGTTAGATGTGTACTACCTATACTACTTTCATGTCATTGCTTTATTTATTTATTTATTTATTTACTTTTTGAGTAGGTATAAATTGTTATTTTTTGCTGAATTTTGGAGAAAATATTGCTTCAAGAACGTGGAATGTAAATTAATTTTATTGAAAAAAGAAAATACCATCATTAATTTGGGCGAACAGAGAAAATATACATCAATATTTGGGTCAACATCTCCCTGATTATATAAAGGATGAATATATTAGTATTTCTGTATCAAAAAACTTAGCTTTTGTCTTCAGAGATACAATGATTCTAGTCCCAGTCAATTTGTTTTATTGAAAAAACAAAAAAACAAAAAATAAATAAAAAAAAAACAACTGAAATCTTAGACATACTATTTTCATGTCTTTCTATTTGTATCAATAGGTACTTTTCGCTTAACTTACGAACGTTGAATGCAAATTAACTTTATTGAAAAAAGAAAATAACGTCATTAATTTGGGGGAACATGTGGCTGATTATATGAAGGAGGTATATTCCAGTATTTATGTTTAACGTATTAACTCACGAGAAAATTTTCGCACATTTATCATCTAGTATTAAGTATTTTTTGATGATTAGTCTAAAACATTCAATACAACCATTAAAAAGTAACACCCACCATCGGGTATCGAACTCCCGATTGCCTAGTGCCCGCTCCTTTTCATAAGAGTATGGCGACTGAGTCAACCAGGCTATCACGGCTCCGCGGTCGTGAGCGTAAAAATAGCCTACAAAAGGCTCTGACGGTGGGCGGGGCTTATCACAAGAGTTGTTTTCGACGCTTCGTAGCTCCTGAGATATGAAAGAAATGAGCTAAGCGCCTCTCTCTGTGAGACATTGTTTACCTATGCTATCATGTGTCTCAAGGTTCATCTCATCATGCATTTGCTATCGCGGCAGTAAGCTGAGGCAATATTTCTGTATTCATGGATTAAATCAATCAATCGAGTTCTGATTTTGGCTCATATATCCGTAACGAGTCCTCCAGAACAATTTTCCACCTTGTACGATGGTTATTATTTCTTTACTTCTATTTTTCGAATTTGAGGTGGGATAATGGCGGCTTCTCAAGAGCACCGAGGTAGGCGATCTTTTGCACCAACGAACAGAAAACTGATGGCGAAAAATAACCAATCAGAACCTCCCAAAAAAAAGAATTTGCCTAAAAACGGAACTTCGTGGTTCTGCGCAGATTTACCAGTCAGACACGACATCTCAAGGTGGAAAAAAACTCGCTGAAAGCGAATTTTAGCAATCAACACAACTTGACGTAGAGACATGATTGGCTAAAAAATACAACGGTTTTTGATACATCGGAAAATCAACCAAAAATCGGAGACTGGGCGAAACGCTCAAGGTCGCAGAGGTATAGGGAATCCCATAGCGAAAGCAACGGAACGATTCTAATATCATGGGGAACTCCGTTCCCATGACAAAAGGTCTGACGTTCTGCGACATCCAAACGCCACATATGCCTATCCTCCCAGAGGTTATCGGGCAACTGACACCGCAACATCTCTTCGTCAGCGCCCGGCACCATTACTTTACGGGACGTCCCCATCGCATGATAATGCGGAGAAAAAAGTCATTAATAGATCAAATAGATATTCAGGAAGAGATTATTATTTTGTAAAGTTTGCCAGAAAAATTGTAATTGTAGGATCAATAAATGGACTAAATTTTGCAATTAGTACAATTTCTGACTCATTCATAGAGATACCTATCGTCACCTTCCGGCCAAAGTATCACAAGTGCCATGCGAAGTTTCAAAATTTCCACCGCCATTTTATTTTTCTTACAGACAAATTCTTTAAATGAGCTGACCGAAAATTTCACTGAATTTTCTTTGTGCTGCCGATAAAATTCAGTGGAATTTTCAAACAGGTTCAACCAACAATTTCGAAACGTCACATAGCGCTTGAGATACTTTGATTCAAACTGTAGAGGATCGACAGGCGTCTAAACAGCGCGGGGTCACTATTTATTTTATCCCAGGGCTAAATATTCAGTGAAAATTGGGGGAGGCTCCAAAAATGTTTTGGGTGTTTTTTCACGAAAAATATAAAGTGATAGTTTGCACTATCGCACATCAAGGTAAGTATTTTTAAGTTCAATCATACATTCTATGTTCAGCGAAGACAAAATTGATGTCGTTAAATCCGTTATAGACAAGAACACGATCTTATGTCGTCGGCTTCGCTGATCATGGAAAGGATCGTTATTTTGAACAGTCAAGTAAAATTCTTGAAAAGGCAACACTGCAAAAGCAAAATAAAATGTCCCGACAACAACGCAAGCTGAAATCCCGAGGGATTGCTGGTTGGAACTTTGCGACTTTCACGAGCTTCCTCTGTCCCTCGCAAACCAGGGTAGCCCTTGGTTGCCACAAAAGCAAAAAAATCGTATTTGTGCCTACTACTACGACATCCATGGCTGGCTGAGCTACGAACACTGCCGTGCTAAGGAAAAACGCCGCATGAACCTTCAGCCTTTACCAAATCTCCTTTGACAAAACACAAATTTTCGGGAAGATTCGCAAGTGTTATTCCTCCGATTTTTAAGAGAATTTTGTTCGCGCTTTTATCCAAAACATCAGAAAGTTGCGAGGAAAAACATTCATAACTTTCATCATAAAGAAATATTTTCCGAGAGAAAACTTGGCGACATTCGAATGCTCGTACGGCGTTTTTCCTTAGCATAGCATAGTAACTCTCGTTCCCATGAAAGGAATGACTGTTTTCAATGTTTTGAATTTGGATGACTGCTCTTTAGGATGAAAACAATTTTTTGTTATAATATTTAGAAGTGCCTGATAGGGGCTGGACAAACAGGACTTATGCCTTCTTCAAAGGAGGAAGACTGGAATTTTCACTGTCATAAGATCCTTCAATTTTAGGATTTGTGACCCCCATTGACCACTTGACAAGCACCCTGAGTCCCTTATATCTGATCCGGCCTTGGTTTACAGGTCCATTGTTCATTTTTTAAACAAAAAAGCACTAAAACTTGAAATTTTTTGGGTTTATTTTTTTTTAATACAGGGTAAATTCAAAGGCATTATAAAGGCCTTAGGTAGTTTAGCTATCTGTTTGAAAAATAAACCATGATAGAAAATTAGGCGAGGTGAAATAGGGTCAGGCTGATTCCGCAATTGAAATCATCCATCTCATTTTTACCATGATTTCATCCCGCACCATAGTGGCATCTGGTGCAACCGGCTGATTTCGACAACTTTGATGACGTGCGATCATACATATCTCACCACAGTTTCCGACATACTAAGGAAAAACACTGTATGAGCCCTCAGACATTGCCGTATATTCCTCACTATAAAACCAATTCACTGGAATGATTATGAACATTTCTTTTTCAATTTTTCAGACAGTTTTTTCACAATTTGATCTAAAATATCTGAAAATGTCAAGGAAAAATAAACATAACTTTCCTAAAAATAAAAGTTATATCCAGGAAAATGCAAATCTTGAATGCTCATATATCGTTTTTCCTTTGCGCGTCAGAGTTGCTCGTTGGCATTGCAAAATGTGAGCATTTTAGCGAACGATCTGGCGACGGTGGACATGGACGAGCAAGAATCCCCTCAGGTCGTATCTTTCCAATTGTTTTGCGCGGGCCATTGAAAACAATTAACTTGGAATCTATATTCATTTACTTTTAACTCGGCAAACTTTCCACCCAAAAGCTATCTCTTTCAACCCGGGGACGAGAATTTACTCAACTGGTTACATCGAGCTTAAAAGCTCGTCCACACTGTTTCACTGGACGCATGAGTATCACTGGAACGGTGAAGGGTGGCATGAAACTTAAAAAAGATATGAAACATCGGAAATTTCCATGAAATACCTCCGGGGAATTTGCAGGCCTGTGAAAAAAATGAAATGTATGACATTTTTGAAACGTATTTTCAGGGGCTAAGTATGAAATCCGCTCTTAAATGCAAGATACCTTGATCTTCGATACCTAATTCTTAATTATAAATGTCTAATATTTCATGGATTTCTGTAATTTTCGGAAATGTTTCAAGAGAAATTTCATGAAATTTTGTCATACTGGAATAGAGAAACGAAAAATCCGGGAAAGTCTAATTCGTCTGATGATAAATTACTAACGAAAAATTCCGGTATTTTTGCCGAATTGATTGACCGATTTCGGTTGCGGGTCATTGGGAAAGATTATGACAACGTTGCCAACACTCTTTGAGATTCTACCACTCAAGAATTTTCAATTTTATATTTGTTTAAAATTACTTTCAATTTTAAATATAGTCTCCTTCAATCCATTTGCTTGCCTTTTTGTCTGTTGGTATTTTTGAATAAATAAATATGTTCATTCACTCAAATTCGAGAAAATTTCCAAAAATGTAATTTAAAGATAGGCATATGAAGGGCTTGTAAGAGAAGAAAAAGTAATGAAAATGTTTACTTACAGGCACCATTGGTCCAGTTGAGGGACGGATTTGTTACATATTCTCGCCGTAGGTCTCTCCATCCCGAATGCGAACGGATCTCATCTGAAACATAAAAGAAAATGAACCATTATAAAAATCAAACTTATTAAATTTCATCAATGCGGAAAAATATTTCAAGGAAATTTTTGTTGTATGTTTGTTGTTTTATATCTTTTTTTTTTGTATCGATTCATTTTATATCGATTGACCTATGCCATTTAAACCTATGCAAAAGGATCGATAAACAGAGTGCTTGCAACGAACACTTTCATAATCGACTCCTTACCACGGCTTCAAATGAGGAAACATCGATAATAGATCATGAATACTTCACCACTGATTTTAAGAACTATTCGAACATTTGAAAGGCTCGAAAAGTTGTCACGACAAATCGACTGATCGCGCGATAGGCTCTCAACTTATTTTGGCGCGGGATCGCGTAAAACGGAACTGCTTTTGGCGATAGGTAACCGCAGAATGCTCGGCGCTCATAAATCTTGCAGGACGTATAAATCTAGAAAAAAAAAGAGGAGAATAAAAGCGGTCTTCAGTGCTCGATCGTTCGACGAATTAATAAAAGCCGAGGAATGCAGAGTATTTCCTTGCGCTAGATTTCCCAATTTCAGATCTCCTGCGATTCTCCCCGAGCCCAATTCTGAGTCAGGAGACCTTTTTTATGGATCAAACTCACTTCTGACCAGATCCGCGGCCGGAGTCCGAAAAATGGCCGGTCGGGAGAGCTGATTGATGACCTTGTTTTAATAATCTGGTTTTTACGAGGCTCCGACTAAAAATACTCGCGTGCTCCGAGAATTTCGCGACCAGGAGTTTGATTGATGGTTCCAGCCAGTGGCGAGGCGTGAATAATCGATTATCGATATATCTTCATTTGAAGCTATAGTATAGAGTCGATTATTAAGGTGTTCAATACGAACATCTTGTTTATCGATTATTCTCCGTGGGTTCAAATGGTGGATCAATCGATAAATCGTCAGTTTCCATCTGCGGCCCACGTTCGCCTGAGCAAACAAAGCGTTCGAATTCCGTTTCTGAACGTGTCGGACTAATTCGTTTGAATAAATAAATCGTAAACAATCATCGTCAAAAACGAGAGAGCTGCCATTTCGCGGATTATACCTGTGCAGGTAAAGTCGGACTGATGGACTCCATTAGCACTTAACATGAAGAGGTGACTTGATTTCGAACTCACCGGAATTGAATATACACGCTGCACAGTGGATCGAGTCTTTGGAGGGAGTCGGACATAAAATTGTTCACAAAAATTGTAAAATTTCACGTGTGTCTCGTCAAAATTTGAATTTTAAGGGTGCTTTTTGCAGAGAATATCCAGAAAAAACCAATGAAACTACTTTTAACACATCAACATTTCATATTGATGAAAATATACGCTTTTAAAGTTTTTACATCATGTCCGACCTTTCCTATTGACTCCATCCACTGTGCGCCGCATTTTTCCGGAGTGGAATTAAGTCTGTCAAACACGAGGATATGAGAGGAGGAGGAAGGGAACAGAGACAATGGAAATATAATAATTAAATTCGGGTTGGGAGATGCTTCCAGGAGTTTTCGTCCACTAGAATTTATGTCGCCCGCCAAAAGTTTCCCTCAGTTCATTGTGTACACGCAAATCGGCGTCCACTTTCAAGAATGCCTGATTACAATTGAGTCCAACCAATTTTAGCGTCCAACATTTTTGAAATTATGGTCATCGCAGATATGCTCTGTTTACTTCCATCATATTCGGAATATGAGTCGATTCCGTCATTTAAGAATGGACTTAACCGATTTGCGATAGGAAAGCACAATATCTGGCTCATCCATCTGTGCCCTAAGGAAACTATACTGGCATATTATGTTGTGTCTGAAATCAGGCAGAGGTGTAGTTAAAATTCTAATTGCAAAATGTGGTCCAACGGTGCTTAGAATTAGTTTATTGTGCTTGTTGCAGAATATCATCATTAACTGGACGGATTTCATCAGGAAGTCTAACTGCGTTTCTCGTTGTTTAATTCTCTTCCTCGTTCATGTTTTCACGGGTGAACTAAGCAACATTACGTACGCCTTAGAACTTTCTAAATATTTACCCCAGATTGTATAGAATGTACTCACAAAATATTCAATCAGAATGTTGTTGAATTTTTTGTTGAATAAATATAACGTGGGAGGAAAAGATTCAACGGCTGATGCAGTTGGGCAGATTCTGACGATTAAATTATTTTATGTAAAATTATAGGTATGCTTTAATGAGACAGTATTATCATTGTAGTTTTTTATATAGTTTTCTAGTTTCGTAAATCTATGCTGTCTAGAATTTTTAACGAGGCTCAATCCCTGATTTTCCACTGATTTTCCCTGATTTTCCGGAGCTCATGCATTCCCTGATGAGAAACCGAATTATTCTCCCACTTCCCCGGAATTTTCTGGGAGAAGAGGAAATAATTCTCCAGAGTTCCATGTATGGACATCGATTTTAATTCATCTCTCAGCCAATTCTTTGGCGAAAATTCAAAATTTTAATTCTGATAACGTTCCTGATGTTTACATATCTGGTTAATGAAAGCTTCTCCATTCTTTCGATGATTTGAAGCTTTAAATGTATCATTCAAGAAGTCAATTATAGCGCTCGGTCAGATTAGATGACCCTTGAAAACGAAATCCCTGAGCGGTACAAGAAGAGATTTCCGATTACTAGAACAGATCCCCTGATTTTCCCCTCAATTTCCCAGTAAATTATTATTCCCTCATGAATTCCAGTTTTCCCGTTTTAGACACCATGCGTAAATCCCTGCTCGTACTTCTGGCAGAAAAGACTGAAAGCATGATACGATGAGCTCGATCTGCTTGTAAACCTGAATTATCACCAAAAACGGATGATTCGAGCACACAGAAATGGAGTGCACAAATAGGGACGCGAACATGCCTCATGAGGGTGACCGCATGTTTACCATCCATCAATAATATCTGATGGATCCGCTGCATCCGATAATCGGTATTAATGAACAACATCAAAGAGACCAAAAGAACGTCCGCCTCAAACAGTCGCGAAACTGAAAAATTGAAGTGTGGTATTACTAAAAGTTTTAATTATACCATCCTCTGTTTTGATAATCGACCACGGTCAACAAATTGACGGAGAATAATACCCAGCCCTTTTTGCCTCTTCAGCCCGACCCTGAACGAAATCATTCACTCGTTTAATCATGCACTCATCGGTTATTGAAAGCCTCGTTGAAAAGCAGCATACCGGAAAATATTCCTAGCGATAGAACAAACACGGCGCCTGCAGGATGTGAGCCTGGCTGCCATTCATACACGCTCCATTCTGTGAAAACTTCATTTATTTTTCAATGCTCGAAACTACTGCATCTAACACTCTTGGAGTGATTGGTTCCTTTCGGGATAAACAAGAAAGTGCGAGGTAAAGAGCGAAACTACAGAGAAAGCACGAACACTCAAAAATGTCAAACCGATCATGATTAATGACGTTTCGAAGTCTGTAGTTCATAAAAAGTTGTTTTGCGAAAACATGATTTGAAGTTTCCATCTGTTTCAGACGGGGCTCAAAATTGACGGACTGTATTGCCTTTACGCGCTCTTCCGTGCGTCCAAAACTTAGGTGCTGATTCGAAAATTTTGCAACATCGAAAGTGCGTTGTCAAATTCCACTTTGATTCAGTTCTATCACGTAAAGTTGGTTAGTTTCAAGGGAGAAACTATGTGTGAGCTGTATTACCTCTATTTCTATCGATATCTCAGATAATATCATCCGCAAATGTGTCCAGCAAATGTTTTGGGGAACATGGGTTTGCTTCTTCAATGGCAGGTGTTCTTCTTCATAACAGGAAATTAATAAAAAAAAACAAATTAGTTCGAATTTGGTTCCGTTTCATGGATTGAATTCGAATCGAATACTACACCAGACCGAATACCTGGTTTCCTTCTGTGACTTAATTTAAATCTCTTTGCAAATAAACAAAAAGAGCCAACTGTCAAAACACTTAGTATAAATAATCGTTTTTTGACTCAAGTCAATTTTCTGTCAACTGAAAATGTGGAATAAATCATTCAAATTAAGATATTGAAACTAAAGCGGTAATCCAAGACCTAAATGAGGAATTCCACCAAACATTGTCGACGAGCAGACCTCACCTTTTCCAAGAAACTCGGCTCATTTTGCTTAATGCTGCCACCCAGTTATTAGTAGATTTCCTGTTGAAGAATTAAAACCAGGACATCATCAGTAAATTTCCTACTGAGAGACGTATCCCTTTATATTTACCATCGATCAACAGTAAAGATAAGAATGTTTGTCCCGTCCCGTGTTACCCTCATCTTACGCCATGCATTATTATTTTTTGGGATTCTTTTTCAGGAAATGCCCGATTGTTCCCGACGTTTGAGAAAATAATTTAACATGACGCGTTATTAATTTTAATATCGCGACATAAACGCAAGTTTTCAAACGGTTGCTATAATCACACAATTTTCACGTCACAATCGCGGAAAATACGTGATTTTTCATTTGATGCGAGCATATTTCATATAGGCGAAGAGCCAATATTTTCCTTCAATTCCGCGAGATACCACATATTTACTTCGGTGTTCGAATAGTTGCTCGCTTGATGAAAAATTGAGAAAGTGCGCAATATACATCTAAATATAGCGATATTTGCAGCATATTCGTTGGATCCTAAACAATTACGCTCTTTTCAACTCAGTATCGTGGGAAATGCACGGAGCACATTTCCCGGAGCTTTCGTAAAAATAAGGAAACGAGAGAAATTACGCGATAATCACGGCAATATCGCAGCAAGTACACGATTTCTTCAGGGGTTTAACACAATCATTCAAAATTACGCGTCATGATTTTAATATTGCTACATAAACGCACATTTTCCAACGGTTGATTTTGGTTTTGTATAATCATTGAAAACAACGCATTTTTATTTCAGTTTCACATGTTTCGTCTTAACACTGCAAGAAATACTCGATATTTCCGACGGATTCGTGAAATCAAAAAAAAATTACGCGCTTCCCAGCTC